ATCCATCGTTCCCATGCACACCTGTGCTGCCGCCTTGTACACACATAGCTGAGGGTAAGCTGCAGCAGGTACCTATGTGAGTTTTCACTGAAAGACAACCACACAGTGCAGTGCAAAGCCTTCATTGCACTCACATTGCAGGGGTTTATTTTGAATTGCTTTCCCAATATATACCTCTAAAGTAAAGAAGACACATCCCTCTGGATTTGAAATCCACAAAAGACAGCTGTCACAGCTTTAATGAATACAGCAGATGGAATGAAGCTGCTTTCCCCACCCTGGAAAAAATGTTTCTTTTCAGGGTTTCCCATACCTAGGTGTGTTGGGTTGCGACTCCCATGATTCCCAGCCTCTGTAGCCCATGGAATTATGGAAATTGTAGTCCAACAACATCTGGAAGAAGGCTCAAGTAGAGCCTGGAGCGCTATGTGGTGCAGAGAAGTCTCTGGCATGAACTTTTTAATCATGTTCATAAAAATGTGGATTCTAAATGAGAGTCAGAGCAGTGTGGGGTTAGAGTGTTGCACTGAGGAACTGGGAGATCCAGTTTTTGATCCCCATGTACCCATGAGCACCTTTGGGCCAGTCATTCACTCACAGGGCTGTTGGGAGGATGAAATGCAAAGGAGCAGAACTCCATAATCCGCCCTGGGTTATCTGTAAGAGGAAAAAAGGCAGAATAGAAGTGGAGGGTAATAATGTGTGACATTTTGAAAGGTATGTAATGCTAATCTCATACGCTCGAACTAGACACAGAAAACTGCATTTTGCTAAAAAGACGGCCTGCATTTGATCTAACCTATTCCCCATGGTGGTTCTGCTGCAGGGAAAGGGTAAACCTAGAACTGATGAAAAGTTTGCATGACTTTGGCAATAGTTAGCCTTTCATCTAGGTGATGCTTCACTTTTGCAGATGGATTTTGAAGGATCCATTTAGTTTAATTGTTGTCTTTCTGCACCATAACAATAAAATCCTACTGTGCCTAAGTGGGACTGTTGAGTAGGGACAGGGTTTGGGGGGGGCGGGGGGGGGGAGAATTAATCGGGCAAATTGTAAATGAGATCTTTCCAAACTTGGGTTTAAGAATCGCCTTTTCTCTCTTGTAATTTGTTTCAGCTCTTCAAAAACCAAGAGCCCAGTCAACCTTCCCTGGGGTGGAAATGAATACTTTCAGCTCAGTTTCACCAGCAGTAATGCCAGAACATTTTGAAATGACAAATGTACTTCATATGCTGTGAGTTAAGGAGTAATAGGAATGGAAAACCCTGAAACAAAACTTTTAAAAAAGTTATTTGTCTCATTCCAAAGCAGGGAGAGGGAAAATAGATGGTCCTGAAGGCATTCCTCCGATAATGAATGATTAATGTAATAGCCTGGCTGTTTTTTTAAACTGGAGCTGAGCATGTGAGCTTGACCAAACAACCGGCAGGGGAGCAGCAGCTGGCTAAGGGCAGAGTTGCCCTTCTTTTTCCCTAGTGTGGCTCTTCTGCCTTTTAACAGCTTCATAAATCAGAAAAGCCAACAAATTCAGCGTCTCATTCACATTGGGGTATGCTGCACATGTCGAATATCTACCTGCCAGGCCACTGTAAACAGTGGATGCTCAGTGCCAGAAAAAGACTGGGGACTCTGTTTTGGTAGCCCATGTAAGCCCCACATTTCTCCTCAGGGAGGGACCTCTTGGTCCTTGCATCTGTTCCACATGGATGCTAAGAATCCTCTGTAGTGATCTCTCCTTTGCTTTTGAATGGGTATTATTTCACCTGAACCTATGTGGGAGTGGCATGCATGGCCTGGGGTGGGAGCTTGTTTTATGCAAATAACTGTTTAACCCACTGAGAAATGCCATGCAGCTCTAAGAAGTAAGCTCCATTGAGTTCTATAGAATTCATTCCCAGATAAGGACTGACCTGCTTAATTCTGGGGAAGCCACTCTGGAGCAGTTTAAAATACATCCAACAAATAATAAAATACAGGATTGCAGCCTTAGCTGTTATACTAAATGAAGCTGCCTTCTCAACTTGATGCCTCCTAGATAGGCTGGGCTGCAACTTGGTTGTGCTGTCTGGGGATGATGGGGTTCCAACCCCACCCATCTGGACAGCTTCAGACTGAGGAAGGCAGTACATTTTGGCAAGTTCATGTTTAAATAACACACACAAGGCACCTGCTCCTATGTGAGAAGAAAGGAGTGGATGCTTGCCCTTTGCCCTTTTAAAGAAAGTCCCCCCCCACTCACACACACGCATATGGATCTGCTGTATGATTAATCAGAAGCACCTAAAAGCAGTCAATTTAACAATTTTAAATATTTTGCATTCCCGGTAATTTTAACTATTATTAATAAATCTATTATGCAGTGGTGTGGACGCCTTCCATGCAGAATACTCAATTCCACACACCCCTTTTCTGTTCTCTTCCCAACAGTCAGTCAGGAGTCTGTGCCCACAGCTTATGCTGAATCCTCATTTCCTAATCTGAGCTAGAAAATGCCTTATCCAGACAATGAGATTATCCTGTCTACCCTTTTCTATATCTATGCCTCTTAATTCCTTCTCCTTGCCCAGCAATTCCATTCTCTCTCACCCATTTATCAGTGTTTTTCCCCTCCTGACTATCAACATTCCATGTCACTGAGTTAGCACTGAAAGATTCTTCCTTTCCTTAAAGTTTTCTCCCCTAAAATATTTTATTATGAGGATTATGGGTACCCTTGCAAAGCCAACACTCTGCTAGCCCTGCATGTTGACCTCTGTTCATTGCTAATCTGGTTCCTGACCTTCAAAAAGTATGCCAAGGATTGGGCATGGTCCACCGAGGTGCTTTTCAAACCTGTCTTAGGGGACTTACTCCAGCCCAAAAGTTTGGAATTCTCCGCCCCTCTGGCTGTCACAGTGGGAGCCTTTTGGACAATCCCTCAACCTTCTTTTATGTCCTAAATTAAATATATTGGCAATAATTAGCTAACTCTTACAGATCAACGCAGCTGGAGCTGGGCCTAGCATGGCAGGATAAGAGCCAAAAACTGCCACACTGGAGAAAGAGGAGGTGTGAGCATCAGTCGAAATGTGAACGGATATTTAAATTGCAGCCACATTAGGCTCCCCGTAGATTTAAATTGGAGTTGGATTAACCTCTGGCTTCCTAAACCCATGGGGTCTGGCAAGTTCTACCTTGCAGCTCACTTTGCTTCCCCATTTGCAGTGTTTTAGTTACAACAGGGAATATGTTATGCTCACTTAGAAGAAGTGGTTTCAGTGGCAAACCTTGCTGAGAGCTGTTGTAACTAGAACAGTTAAGCGTGAGGCCTGCCTTCAAACAGAGTCCCTGGACATGGGGGAAAACTCCATGGGGGAAAACTCCATGTCTATTTTAAAAGGATGACTCCCTTTTTTCCTCTTCCATATTTTGGACAGTCAAAACAGATAATGTCAGAGTTTTAAGATAAGCTACAATTCCAGTTCCCCACTCCATCACAGAATAACATTTTTAGTGTGCGAAAAAGAAAAAGATTTGAACTCACAGGAGCTCCGCCAATTGTTTCTTCAGAAGACACTGCTGTGAGAAGACTTTGTGAAAGGTAGGTTTTGAATCCAGAACAGTAAGTCATGCAGGGATGCAGCAGGAAGCCTTAGTATTTCGCTGTTTCCCATTTGAAAACAGGATGATGGGATAGATAAACCTTCATGCTGCACTAGCAGGATTTCCTTATGGATCCCTGATGGCTCCCACACCAATTTTTAAAAATCATTGTACAAGTACAGACTGCTCCATTTCTAGCATAACAAGAATACATGAACATCAACACATGTCAAGTTTGACACAGCGCTTAGCCTATCCAAAGTTACTCTGCATGCATTATTTCATGAACACCTTTTAAGAACAAACTCAGGCAGCTCACCAGGTACCCCGGGCCCAGTCACCATTTCTCATTGTAGCCCACCCCACAGGGTTCTTGTGAGAATAAAAGGGAGACAATCTTATGTGCAGCCTTGAACTCCTTGGATACAAATAAATGCACTCCGAAACGCTCCGTAAATGCATTTGGTAAGCAGGCTCCACTGAACCCAGTGGGACTTGCTTCCAAGTAAGTGCATGTGTTTACTTCCGGAAGGACTAGACAGGTCAATTCATAGCAAGCGTAACTCTTTGGAAGAACAAGAAAATTGTAATTTTGGTGGGCTCATTAGTCCATTTCTCCGCTCATCCAATGCGGCTTAAATGAAGTCCTATTGAACTGAAATTTTACTTCTGTATTAATGTGGAATAAATGAAAACCTTACCATGTCTGTATCTGTATAGATCCGGAGGGAAACACAGCCACGATTTATGAAAAGTCATTGGATGCCTCGGCAGAACACTTTTCCTAAGCACACTGCCGTCCTGACGTGATCAGCCCTATGAAGTCTCCTTCCCAAGCAAGCATATCTCAACAATAAAATAACTAGAAATGCAGCCCCGCATCAGCTTCAGACACCGATCCTCGAGCGCGTTCGACCTTGTGGCATGCACTGCTTACTCGGAGGTAGATCCGACGGATTTGAACAGGGTTTCCTTCTGAATGAATTCGGATTTCAGCTTTCCTTGAAAGTGCGGTCGAAATCCCATATGTGCGCAGGCTGCAGGATCCGCGCCCTGCGGATCCCTGGATCTCGAGTTTTACCTCCAGGCACCTCCGTTTCGTGCAGAAACCCCCCAAACTTGCCAGGTGCGTGCGCTGCGAAAAGAGCTCTTTGCAACTCCTGGTAAGCACCCGCATTACTCTTAACTCCAGAAACTTTTTCCCTTCCTCTTCCTCCCGCTTCTTTTTCCCTTCAGAGAGGCTTGTGCGGCTCGACCGTGCGTGTGCGCGTCTCTTTTTGCCAGGCGGGTGTTCTTTTTGAATGAATGACTTAACCGGATCCAGCCAATGGGTGCAGAGCTGTGCTTAATATTCAGTAGCCCTCGGACCAGTGGCTGGGCAAGGAGGTTGTTTTAAACGGCGGAGCCCTGCAGCCAATCAGGCCGCTCTCGTAGGCAGCCAACGCGAGGCTGAGCCGAGCTACTAGCGCTGAGTCTTAGCGCGTTGTGTGTGCGCCTCGCTTTCCTGCCTTGCTTATCGCCTAGGTTAAAGCGAACAATACAGGTAGGATTTCGGAGCTGCACTTTGCAACTTTTTCTGGGGGCGGCTGCTTGGCTGGCCTCTTTAATTTCGTTTTAAAGAAATGCCTTCCTTCTGAAATTCTTTCTCTCCCTTTTTTTTAAAAAATCCTCCTTTTGTCTTAATTCTTAGATTTCCAGATCTTATTTTATTTCTAGGTAAATTCCCCCATCAACTTTCTCTGTCGGCTCGCTTTCCCGACCGCCCTCCCTCTTTTTCGTCTGTGTAAATACTAGGCGTGGGAAATCAGACTTGGATCTTGGTGTAAATTGAGTTTTTTATTTTTTTGGAGAGGGGGAGTAGGGAAAAGGGACGCCGCTGCTGGATGTAGGCTAATTTTTTTAAAGGGAGGGTGTGAATTCTTATTTGGGGCGTCTTTATTTCGTGGGATGCAAATGCGTAAATGTGTCTCGCATCGCTCCGTAGATATAGACACAGGCACAAAGTAAATGCCGGGGAACGTGGGTTTTCTGCTCCTCTTGTAGTGGAATATGGCTGGTGCAGTAAGTTGCCCGCATGGGCAGGGATCTCGCTCACTTAACGGGCATGCACACTCCGCGCCTCCGCGCGTGTGCCTGCCATGCTCGCCTTCTCCCGGGCTGGGGATCGGGGCATGAAAGTTGCCCGGCCGTGCGCAATGCTGGTGCCTGCTGTTTATTCTGCATTAATAATGGCTGTCGCTTTAGCATCTGACAGGGATAAGCCCTGCGCGTCCCGGGGAGAAACACACATTTTTCCTCCCTGGCGCCTCTTTCTCTTTTTCTCGCCCCCTCGCCTTTCGATCCGTCCCGAACCTTTCGCTTCCGCCGCCTTCTTATTTCCCCTCTCTGCGAAGGTGCTTCTCGTCCCCCTCCGACGGCCGCTAAGCCCCGGACCGTTTCTTTCTTGCGCCGCTGCTGCTCGAGCCGTGTGTGCATAATATGGCTGGCGTTTTAGTGGTACGGCTGAAGGAAGAAAGACGTGTAAAGACGGGGAGGGGGAGCGACTCGGGGAAAAAATCCGGGGGGGAGCCCCGCAGCGCCCCCGAACCTTTCGCCTTCGCCCCCGATTGTTTATCTCTATCCATCGGTTCCCTTGACGGGGTGCCTGGGGGCCGGGATGGGCTTTTTTGCACTTTTCTCCCTCGGCGCCGACGAGTGTAGCCCGGGCTTGTAATGGCTGCACGGCAGTCTTTGTTATACAGACTATTGCGCTAAGCAGGGACATGGGAGGGTGCGGGGGGGAGGCTGCCTCAGAACTGCTTTTTCCTCCTTGCCCGACCCCTGTGCGTCCCCAAACCCCACTGACAGGAAAGAGAAACGCCTTTTTTACAGGGCTGGCGGGTTTGGGGGAGCCTGGCTGCCTCGGAGCGCCGGCCGGGGGGGGTTATTTGAGCAGACGGGTGCCTGCGGCTTTGTTAGGCATAGCAGTCTCAATGCCTTGTAGAGAAGCCATTTTAGCGAATGGAGCTGGCTTTGGGCGAGGGGAGCTCTTCTTTCCGTATCCCTGCCTTAGCTAGCACCAAGACTATACAGATTGCTATAGTGAGGGCAAGAACCCCGTTCTCTGCCCCAGCTTCAGCTGGCGTGGCCCCCCCCGGCCAAAGGTACCCCCCAGGAGAGCCCAAGGACTTATTTGAGGGGCACTTTCTTTCATGAAGAAGTGTTTCACAAAATGGAAGATGAATTATTGGTGCCTTGGTGACCTGTCGTTTTTTCTCCCTTTCCCCTTTTCTGCTCTGCAAACCTTAGTCTCCAGCAAATACAGCGTTCCCAGGCATATCCTAGTCGCGTTCGCTGGCAATAGGGGGGGCCCTTTAAATACAACTTGCCCCAATGTAATAATGCAGAAAAAGGGGTGGATTTTTTTTCCTGGTGACCTTGGAGGGGTGGAGGAGCAAGGGACAGGGGGCAGAAACAGCAAACATTGGAAAGGAAAATGTAAGCTTTTTCCTTTATCTGAAACTTTTTTTTAGATAGAAATAGATTTTTTTTTTTAAGGGAAGTATAACTTTTCTGAAGGGGGGGCCAGCCCATTTTTTTTCCTCCTTTTCAGGCGAAAAAATCAAGGCAAAATATTAGAAGAAGAAAATTGCTTTCAACTTTTTAAACCTTTTATTACAAATACTTAGTAAATGCAACATTAATAAAACATGTACAACTTTATGAGCAGCAGGGGAGAAGGAGCAAGGTTTAACTCCATAAATCATGACTTTTGCAGGAAGCTACAGGGGACAAACAATTTCATACCCAAAAGTTAGCAGCTGTTCATGTGACTTTTTATTTTTATTTATTTTTATTTTTAGTGGCCACCCAGATAACTAAACCTTCTCTTCACAGAGCAGCACTGTGGTCTTATAACTTGTGCTTTGATACAGTGATCTCTGTAAACATGTGTTCACTAATTTCAGAGACATAGTTTTATAAACAGCGAAGTGAAAGATTCTCACCTACAGATGCTATGACAGTTACTGGAACGTGCACTATATCTTAAGTTCTCAAGAAGTCGCAGGTGCACATTCCTCCTGGGTGGGCTGGCTACAGCGTTTAAGCCATAACTGTACACATTAAGCCTTTTAATATTATGGGCTGGCTCTTTCATACTTGGCCATGAAATGAAATGCTGGAAATAGATGTTTCGTGGCATAGATGTTTAGTAGTATAGAATAAAGTAACAATCTCTGGATGATCCAGTAGACTCAACCTGCACAGTGTTGTTATACCTCCAAAGTGCAAAACTCGGTGGACATAAATTCTCTTGTTTGGGCTGAAAGCTTATTGCTGCTGCTCCTGCTATTATTATTACATTTGTACAGCACTTTCTTCCCCTTGCAAGGAACCCAAGTCAGCTTATAAGTTTTACTCATGTCCATTTTTCCTCAAACAGCAATGGCCAAGGTTGATCAGGCCTGAGGGAGTGATCCCAAAGATGCTGAGTGAGGATGAGAACCTGGTCTGGCCAGGTCCCCGGCCTGCCCTCCACACTCCAACCCTATGCCATACTGGCTCTCAAATGTCAAGCTTAGGGCGCTCTAATGCCTGACTTACCTGCGGCTGCCTGGAGCACACAACTTAACTTGCTTATTTGGTGTGTGTGTGTGTCTTCCACAAACTATTTCAGAGAATAAAAAATGGCTAAAGGTGACCCGAAGAAGCCGAAGGGGAAGATGTCTGCTTATGCCTTCTTTGTGCAGACTTGCCGCGAGGAACACAAGAAGAAGAACCCTGAAGTCCCTGTCAACTTTGCAGAGTTTTCAAAGAAGTGCTCAGAAAGGTGGAAGGTATTGTCCTTAAGATCACACACTTGCTGAAGGTGATGGCTGTGTATATGGGAAAAAATTAAATTTAAAGCAAACGTAATTCTGTGACCTGGGTGACTTACGTAAAAGTGTGCGACCTTCTCTTGCATGCAGTGGTTGAGCTTCATGCTCTGTATGTATGTTTAGAAACATGTTCCTGTAAGTTCCGTGGACCTTATTCCTCCAGCGGGCTGGATAATCAAGTCTTGCTTATGTCAACTGAATCATGAAGTCATGCCTTCTGAAAATTCACCAGGCATTACTAGCACCTGTTCAAGCATTTCTTTTCAGTCATGAAACTTCAAATCCATGTTTCCTCAGATATGGGAGCTTTTTGCCAACCCTGTTACAAGAGGGGTGTTGAATCTTTTTTGGCCAAAGGGCCAACTTTAATTTTGATGAAGAGTGGAAATTTGGAAATGATAAAAAGGTCTTATTGTCAATAACCAGACCTTTGGGGTGGAGATAAAATTGAGCAAAAGCCAGGACACCCGCAGGAGATTGGAGAAAGGGGGTGTGGCCATCTGAGGACCTGGAACTGCAGTGGACATACACAACTCTAGCTATTGGTGAAATCTAACAAACCAAACATTGGGGGAGCACTGCTTATCTTGGCACGGGGCTTTGGGGAGCCCCATGCTGTGTTTGCACCTGCCCTTTTAGCAGGACCTGCCCACTCTGTTGAATTGTAGATGCAGACCCCCTCCAGTGCAAGAGTTGTCCAGGGGCTCTGTAGAATTATTTCATGGGGAAGGCGAAGTTAGGGACAGCTCACTGAGATAACTGCCGTGTTTTCTCAAGTAACAGCCTATCCCTCTAGACCAATGTTGTGTACCCCAATAGTGGTTCTCCAGCATCTTGTGCAGGGGGCTGCCCCATCAAAAGGGCCTTGTATCCTTCTCTGTGTAGAGCAGGTGCTGTACCCTTTGAGCTCTGGTTCTTCCTGCACTGCTTAACTGTCTTATTGCCAAGAGCTAAGCATTAGAGAAGTGCTTCTGCTGTTTGGAAGTGAGGAAACTGAGGTAGAACTGAGCAAAGCCAGGAAACTACCAAGCAACTGGGGAAATAGGGTGTGATCATGTGAATAACCAACACTCCTGCATCCAGGACTCTTGATGTCTCAGACGTCCACATGGTGGGCATGTCGTGAGCGGAGCAGGCTGGTGCTGGAGGTCAGACTAGATGGCCCAGGAGGCCCCTTCTGATTGCTCTGTTTCTATGTTTCTGTGTAACTGGCTGTGTTTGCATTTCAGACCATGTCGAGCAAAGAGAAGGGCAAATTTGATGAAATGGCAAAAGCTGACAAAGTACGGTATGATAGAGAAATGAAGGATTATGGACCAGCAAAGGGGGGTAAGAAGAAGAAGGACCCCAATGCTCCCAAGCGGCCACCGTAAGTATCTCTGCATCCCTTCCCCACATTCCAAATACCCGGAGCTGGTTTGGTTGGAAGAAATGTGGTGACTTGCATTTGCAAGACAGACAAGGAGAATTCAGAGTGACATCTGGCAAGGGAATGACAAGAGGGTGCTTTTAAAACCCAGCAGAGTTGGACATAACTTGTAGCTTTACATATTTATTCCTGGTTAAAGTTAACTCAGTTTGACCAAACTGTTGGGAAGATGGCTGTTAAGAGTTGTGCAGCTGTTCATTATAATGGTGCATGATGCCCAAATTTTGAAATTGTGATTCCTGATTGAGTAATACTCTTTGCAACTTCTGTGGCATAAAAAAAAGGGGGGGGGAGGACATTTGGAATCTTGCCTTGATGATCACGGTCTGCTGATATTCCAGCTTATTTGTAGAATGCTTAAAGAGTTTCTTCCATAGCAACTCTTACCAGGACTCTGAACGATGGGGCAGAAGTTTCTCAGTATAATAGATTTGGGGCCAAAGGAGCAGGCAGGAGAATTGTTGATATCATGGACCAGTAGGTTGTCACAGCCTGCAGAGTAAATAATTTTTCCTTTAGCTAGGAAAAAGGTAGAGGAAAAGGTTGAATTTACACCAAGAGGTCATTAGCTTGCACTTCTAGGGTATGTACCCTAACTGGTTTTATGCTGATTTTATACAGTCCAGGTTGCACCACTGGGGACCATAACTTGGTGAGAATATTTGGGTCCTAGTGACCCATTCAGTCATGGTCCTGGGTCATGACTTTCTTCTTGGCTGCAGGTGTGTTGGAAGCTTTTATTCATGTTTTTAGTAGAAGGAGAATAGAAACTTCAAGTAATCTCCTCTCAAGGATGTCCTAGAGGGGAACATGGGGGAGCATACTGGTCCAATCACTATAGATTCCTGGAGGCAGGAAATTCACCTCTGACCTGGATTTTCACTAGTACAGTTATATCAGTATAACCAACACACCAGTTCTCTGCTGTAGCTCACTTTTCTTCCTCCCACCACCAGGTCTGGCTTCTTCCTCTTCTGTTCAGAGTTTCGTCCCAAGATCAAATCCACTAATCCTGGAATCTCCATTGGAGATGTGGCAAAGAAACTGGGTGAAATGTGGAATAATCTTAGCGATGGGGAGAAACAACCTTACAACAACAAGGCTGCTAAACTGAAGGAGAAATATGAGAAGGTGAGGCTGGGGTGATTGCTTGCCTTCTTCCAGAAGGCAAGCGACTGCTTTGAATGGGGTTTCTTTAACCAGTGCAGTGCTCCAAGTCTGCGGGGTATTTCCTGAGCTACAGGTGTGAATTCATCGCATTGTATCCCTGGAATCTCATTCCAGGTAAATGCTCTTGGGAACTGGCTTTGAGGCATCTCGAGCTCCAAAGCCTTCCAACCAGGCATCTTCCATGTGTGGCAGCTTGGTCTTAACCTCTTATCTGCAGTGCAGCAAACATTAAGAGGCCGTTTTCGTTATTTTTTTGCTCAGGCACAAGTGTATTGACCCATTCAATCCTAGAGGTGGGCAACCAGTGTAAAATATCTCCTACCAGCTTGTGTTATTTATTTATTTATATTGCCATTTATATCCTGCCTTTTTCCTGCAAAGGGCTCAAGGCAGCTTACATCATTCTCCTCCTCCATCTTATCCCCACAACAACAGCCCTGTGAGGTAGGTTGGGCTGAGAGTCTGTGACTGGCCCAAAGCCACCCAGTTGGCTCCATGGCCGAGCGGGGACTAGAACCCAGATCGTCCCAGTCCCAGTCCCATGCTCTTAACCACTACACCACACTGGCTCTCGCCAGTTTCTCCTCCCTCCCCATCTCCCAAGGCAAACTGGCACTAAAGAACTCCACTAAAAGGCTCTGACTTCTAAACTGTGAAAGAAGTGGTTATAAAGGAGCTATATCTGTGAGAATTTAGGCCCCTAACCGCACAATCGTTTATTGATCAATTTGTTAATTTTTTTTAATCCACCCAATAACAGATATTCAAAACTTTCTGCATTTTTGGGGGTAGCTGTTCCTTTGGAAAAGCAACATGCTAGTCCTTATTGAGGATTACAGTGGGAGAGGTGCTTGGGGCACCTTTTATAAACTGAAGGGTGATCAGTTTATAAAAGTGATAAACCGAGTCGGTTTTAGTCCTGCATAGCTCCTTGGTTTTCCTCCTAACTTGGAATTGATGTAAGTTTAGCTCTGCTGCATAGGACCTGGGATTCTGGTGCTCAGTTGTGCTGTTCTGAACATGCTCGGTACATCCTATATCACTGGCCTGAGGGCAGAGAGTCCCATGGGTGAGTGGGAAGCGCTTCTGCTTATGTCAGGTGGGAATGGGGGTGTCTCCCCCCACACCAGCTTGCATGACGGATTGCTCCACAGAATCCCTGATCATGGGTGTAGATTTTGGGGCAGGGCTGTGAGAAGCCCGACAGGAGTGTCCCACCTACAATTTGTACAAAGCACATTAGCTTTAATAGCTTCTAGTCACTTGCTAACTGAGGCCACCAGTTTTAAAGAGTCACAGACTAATAAAAGGGCTTCCCTTACTGGCTAGCCTCATGATTCAGCCGTGCTCTCCAGCCCCGAAGCACTGTTCTGAGTTTCCTCCAGACACGCTTTGCTAACGCAAAAGGACCAACAAAGCTGTCCTCTCCCTGTTGCAGGATGTTGCAGACTACAAGTCTAAAGGCAAGTTTGATGGTGCAAAGAGTGCAGCAGCCAAAGCGGCAGCTGCAGCTCGGAAAAAGGTAGAGGAAGAAGAGGAAGATGAAGAAGACGATGAGGAGGAGGAAGATGAGGAGGAGGATGACGAATGAGAAACTGTATAATATTTGTCTCCATGTGAATACCATAGAGTAGGGGAAACACCATTCGGAAAAGAAAAAAAGTGCACCCTCTTAATTGAGACGGTGTCTTATTTGCCCTTTATTAGGTTTAATGACACAATTTGGATTCTGATCACAACACCGTAGCTGCTTTGGGGGGGGAAATCTTTAAAGTGCTCTAGGAAAAAATATGGAAAGGAAGGGGAAAAACCAAGCAAAACCATTGTAACTGGTTTACATTCAGTGGCCATGGATGTCGGATAGGCACCCTGAAACTGTAACAAAGTTGTACATATTTCCAAACATTTTTAAAACAAAGTGGAAGCAAAGTGTTCTCCTCAACTCTGTGCACTTTCCTGTTGGTGTAACAAAGCATTTAAAAATGTTTCAAGCATCTTATTTTTTAATTTGTAAGGTGGTGTTTAACTATATGGTTATTGGCTAGAACATCCTGGGTTATAAACTGTACATATCTATAGTTTGTAAAAACTAGACAGATTCTTGTGGTTCATGCTTTGAGCGGTGATGACCCTGGACGGAAAGGCAAACAGCTCTCTCCGTGGCGCGTTTCCATGGAGGGGGATATGTCTCAGAGAATGCACCACGAAAGTAGATCTATTTACACTACAGTGGGCGTCCATTTAGCTTAAAGTTGTCTTTCTGTATATAGTGAAATTAGCATTCTGCGGCCATTAGTTGTGGAACGGGAGGGGGGCAGTCCAGCTGGCATGAGAAATTGTATGGAATCCTTTTTTTTTCCCTTTCTTTTAGTTGAGTGGGGTAGTTTTTAAACGGAAGCTGTAGGTCTCTTCCTTGTCAGCTTAAAGAGAAGAGAGGGCGCAGAAAACCGAAGTTCAAAAACACTCTGTACTTAAAAGAGAAACAAAATTTGCAAAGACGTTATGTTGGTTTTTTGTATGTTTAGAATGCTGAAATGTTTTTGAAGCAAAAAATAAACAGTATTACATTTTTAAAACTTCTTGACAATATTCTAAATTTCCTGCTTTTAACAAGGTTACTTCTAGCAGCAGTAAGAAAAAGGACAAGTTGCACTTCTGGCCATACTGTCCTTCCCCCTGTTCCCCCACCAAGTGGTCGAGTTTAAAAAAATGCATTTCCACCTCCCAAGGCTGCACGTGATGGAAATTTAAGATCCATCTAGGAAAGGTAACTCCTTGAGCTGATTCCGTGTTTAAAGGATGCTATGCAAGTTTGAATCTTATTACTTGAAAGTTGGAGCCTGACTGAACACTTGTGACCTTAATTGTGTGAATTCCACCATGCGGAAAGGTAGGTGACTAAAAGAAAGCGGACGTTACTTTCTAGCTGTGTTGGGTACGTTTATAGCCCAAATGCTATGCTTTGTAAATATTAAAATGTGCCTTTTTTGTCCTGTGTTGAAACTGTTTCAGATGTGTGTGTTTTTTTGTCTCTTTCCCTTACACCCAAGCCCCACTTTATCATTGGTTTTTTTTTTTTTTTAAGTACTGGGCAGCAGTCAGTCATGTCTTTATATAAGTGCTGGCTTAAAAAACCCGGTGCTGAGTCCAAGGACAGGACAAGCATCTCGGGTATCAGGTGCAGAGATGGACAATGCTGAGCCACAGGTCCTATAATTCATCCCTGTTAGCATATATCTGGATGAACTCAAGTTGCCACTTCTGATTCAGCAGCACCAGTGCCAATGTAAAGGATCCAGCCATCGTGTCTTTATCACTGGGCTGCGGGGGGGATGTTGGTCTCTTAAGGAAGTATTTGGCAAGATGGCTGGTGCAAGCTGTCCTGCTTTGCAAGCTGAGCTTGCTGGGGACACCGACGTGCAAAAACAAAACCTGGCGTGAGTCTCTAAACACCTAATGGGTTCAAGGAGTGGGGAGCTATTGTGTTTGTGTCCTGTTTGTAGGCTTCCCGGGGGGCCCTAGTTAACCACTGCGAGGGATGGCCCAGGATGAGATAGCTTGTTGGCCCAATTCTGTTGACTGGTTTTGATCAGGTGAAGTAGGAGCTTCCACAAAATCTTATACTGTACTAAACTGGTTGTTTTTGAAGCTGCAACACACAGTGGAGTGCCATTCTGGTGATCCCCCTACATCCACTTGCAGTGGGAAAGCAGTGTTTGCCGGAACAGATTTAAGTTGTACTTGGATCCCATTCAAAGCAATGGGACTCAAGTGAGATTTTAAGCTAAGACTATCTCCGCATGGAAGTATTATCGAGCCTATAAATACCACAGCCAAAAAGCAAAGTTGGAAAACTAACTTTAACATGACCTGCTAACATCTATTGAAAAATGCCCTTTTGCTTTCTTAAAGTAACAGGGAGGTTCACGGGGAGCTAAAGAACTGGGAGCCATAGCTCATCACCAGCCCCAGTCGAAGCGGCTGCAAATGCAAACTTTATCATATTTGGCCACTTGGAACATTCACTTCTGTTTTCCCATTCGCTGATAATCTCTGCTAGGTAGGTCAGGCATGTCTGATATCTATTTCTTGCAAAGAATTTCTGTATGTATCGTGCATGTACAGTTGGAATTCTACAGAACAGCCTATACTTGGGAAAATAGGAAGTTACCATATCTGGAGAAAAGATACTCAGATGTTCGTTTGCGTATGAATGTGGAATATTTTCCCCACTGGAGGTGCTATTTCACACTTGAAGCAGAATAACAAACTGGTTAAAACCACGCCTAGTTAATCCGCAGCTCTGTGTGGTTTAATAATATCTCCTGTTCTGAGAATAGGTATATCTAAGACACTGAGCTGTGGACTAGGAAACATGGTTCTAACTTCTATGTTTTAGCCATGAACTTGCTGGAGTGGCTTGCCTACAGCTGTTTATTTCTCCCCATCTGCAATGTGTTATATGGAAAGCATGTTCTGCATTGGGGCTATTTCTTCAAATTCAACAACTTGCAGGCATCCTTTGATGGCCTGAGATGTAGCAGTAATTCTGTCAGGATTGAAATGATAGATTCCAAGGTCTACCAAGGAACAGTCCTTAATTCAGCAGCTTCCACACCAGCATGGAAGTTGATGTTGTGGGAGGTAGGTTAAGACTATGCAAGGTTAATTTACCTTACCCTGAGGGAAGCAGCTTGCTTAATGGACTGAAACCTCTTAAGTGTGGCCTCAAGAAAATAGGCTCAAAAATTGGGCAATCACCAGGCACTTGATGTGCCACTGGAATACCCCTCCAAGGAAAGTCCTCAGGGTGAGTTTGCTTCAAGCTTGAGTTCAGCAACTGGGGTGCCTGACTCCACACACCCTGCCTTGCTAGCCCAGTAGAAAGGTCTGGAGGGAGCTGTGACTTCCTCCAGGCCTTCCCTGTGAGCAAAGTCACTTCTCTTTTTCCACCATAATTGCTTCCTCACTCAAAAGAGGAGGGTCCCTTTGGCATGAGATGCGGGGAGTAAACTGGGTGGTGTTTTCCATGGAAAGAGAAACCTTGGCTCTGTTCTGCGCTTTGGAGAACATTCTCTCTGCAAATTGCTTTTCCTCGTTCCGTGGTGCCCAAGTATGGGTGAACTGCAAAATGCGGAAACGTTTCAGTATCTCAGAGTTGGAATACTGCTATAGTGTACAAAACGCCTAGGTGGTGAAGGGCTCCTGTTGGAGGTTCGCAGCATGGGGAGCTCTGGACTTGACTTCAAGTCCCAGAAACTGGTTCTTGGGCCTCTGATGATCAGGGGCTTGGAGAGCTGTTGCCCCAAATCATACCGAGAGAACGGGGCTGCCTGAACACACTGCTCTATAAACAAGCCTCAGCCAGAGAGGCACTGGAAAGAGAGAGGAAGGAGCCAAATCTGGGGCCACTGTCATAGACAGGCATGCAGAAGCAGCTCCGGGGGTATCTAGTTCAATTCCCTTCATTTTTAATTTGTGTGCATGGCTTGTGTGAAATGTGTATAGCTTTCTCGCAGTGATACGTGGGCTTCAACAAAAGTGGGCCAAATGCATATCCATTTGAGGTTTATTATATGTTTATACCACTCCATAACCAAAGCTCTCTGGGTGGTTTACAATTATTTAAAGCAATGCGAATGTAACATAGAGTATGAAAGTGTACAATAGTTAAAACAGTTCAAAGTGAAATTGAAAAATGATTTAAAACCTAGCCATGGTATAAAAATTTAAAATACAATGCAATTTTTAAAGTGGCATGAAACTAGAATTCCTTGGAAAATTCCTGGAAAAACAAGGTCTTCCTCTGGCACTGGAAAGAATACAAGGGAGGTATATATCTATCAAAAAGACACGAATCCATTTCCCCTTCCATCTTTCAGTTTCCATTAAGCAGATAAATTTAAAAGAGTGTGCGCAGTGGGGAATATTAAAGACAGATCCAGCAAAAAATTTACCTGCAGTAACCTTGCAGAAAGAAGGAACTGTTGGATGTTTCCAAAATACGTATATGTCGAAAAGAAATGTTTGCTGCATGGACTCTTGCTAAAGAGAGGTGCGTTTTTGGCAGCAGAACAAAAGTTTTACAGAGTAAAAGGAACTCGTAAGATATGCTAGATGGACACCAAAGCACTGCTCAGCCATTTTTTGCTGGTTCCTACAGCATTTTTTCAAATGAACAGCAAACTCCAAGTGCAAATCTCTACTTGAATCTTGGTCCAAATAATTTCTTAGCTCAGAAGCCAACTGGGTGTCCATACTGGGCAACGCCACTTGAATGTGTTGTACCTACAGCGGTTTCCCCCTGCTTGAGCATGTTGCTCAAGCTTGTTCTTTAATTTGCACAAACTTTTCTGCCTGTTTGGCTGCCTGATGCATGCCCTATGGATTTGGTTTCATTTCTGAGTGGAGACATTTAAAGCGTGTGTGTTTCTTAATATTAGAATCATAGTAATTAATTTCGAATTGGCTGCTGGTGCCCTTGGGAACTGATGGCTCTTGGTTGCTGCTAAAAGACAGCTGTGTGCTTGAACTTGGAGGGAAATCTGTACTAGGAATGTCTGCTTGGCGCATGGAGCAATACGTGCAGGCCAGTGAAACCTTGACCTGTCTGGGGGAACTTTTCTTTTGATGGAGAAGTCGGACAGAAGGGTAGGCTCAGCTCTGAGCCCCAGACAAGCAAGGCTGCCTTGTCTTAGGTCCGTCACAGATTTATGCAAGGGAGACGGGAGGCTCACGTGCCACTGGAGCTCTCCAGCCACTGCAGCTTGGTGGAGACTATCCATGGTGCTGAAGACCACCCCTCAACCGTAATCCATGTAGCACCTTGAATAGCGCCTTAAAGTTTTGAATAAATGCTGTCATGGATTAGGTGCCCCCTACCCCGATGTGGGAACCACTGTCCCCCTCAATTTCTGCCAGGTTGCTTCTTGGCTCCCACGCAATCATTGCAGCAGAACCTCTCACAGCACCGTGTCCACAGGTGAAGGTGTACCCAAGCTGGATCTTCTCTCTCCAAAATGGAGTGTTCATGGAAGGGCTGCGGGGGTGAGCCAACATTTTTCCCTTTCCAGTTCCAGCCATCCTGGGGACACCGGGAGCTCCAAAGAGTCACCATCATGCACCTGCAGACTCTCACCTGAATGCCTGCAGACCTCTCCTGCGTGTCACCTTGAGATTCCGCATGGAGATGCTGCGGCTTCACTGTCAACTTCCATTTTTCTCTCCCTGCCCTCCCAATGCCTTTTTGCTGTGTGTTCATGGAGAGGGTAACATCTCCCAAGCAGGTCCGGGGCTCTTGAAAATGCGCGTGTGTTTTGTAATCTTTGCTTGGCCTGATAAAGCTGTTACACTGATTTGGATTTCACTTACTAAAACAAAGCAATGTCTCAGTGTGGAATATCCTATACAGCAAGCCACCAATTTAGGGAAAAGCCTGGTTTTCTCTGCATTGCTGGGGGCAGAGGAATGAGCCAAGCAGGTTCCTTTACAGGTAAGATACTTGGATTATTTAGCAGCAGACAACCTGTTTCAAGGTCCACGTGCCCCAAAAAGCAGTTCAGCAGATTGGTACCTG